TGGTCGCACTCCTACGAAACGGGTTGACCGTTTTTAATGTTTTTTTTTTTATATTTGGTAGATATGAGAATAGGTCGTAAAGTATTTTTCACTCTCCTACCAAATACCCTATTTTTTAAGTAACTAGGGCGGAACTCAAGCGGAGCGAGTGTGAGTAGTGACTAGTTATTTATAAAAATATATATTTATTATTAATAATTTCATACAAATAATTATATTTATATTTTGATTTGTTTTAATTAAATTGCGGTATCTACCACACCGCCAAAGAAGTTTTACTTCAACCGCGTGTAAAGGTTACACTACAACTGATCTGTGGTTACACGCACTGATAGTTTTTTTTATTTTATAGATGTAATTTTTAAACACTTTGGCACAAATTCAGAATTGGGGACTTGGCCCCTAGCGGAGTGGGTGGTATTTCTGGATAAGGGACGTGATAGGGAGTCGAAATGTTAAATAAATTTTTTAATACAACAAAAGATTCAAAAGTTATTGAGACTTAAAGTTACAACATTTCCATACATTTTCATATATTTCTTTACCACCATTCGGAGTGGGTGGTATTTTTAGATAGGGGAGGTGACAGAGAGTCAAAATATATTAAAAATATTTGGAGGAAACGTACGACTAAAAAGTTATTGAGACTTAAAGTTATAACATATCTAACACATTTCCATACATTTCTTTACCTAAATAAGTGATTACAACAGATAAACATACCTTTAACGAATAGTACGCATCCTTTTTTATGTACATTACACATTTTCACAACAATTAATGCTTTATTGTATTTAATATTTTAATAATTTCACAACACAAACAAAATGATCTTACATTTTGACAAAAGCAAAACTGACACTTTGTTTTATATTACCGCTTAAATGACAACAGATTATATTTGATTATTTTTGCTTTTTCTGTTGGTAAAATATTAATATTAATAAATAAATAAATAAAAAGAAAAATATTATTTTCACTTTATAAATACATTTATAACTTTTTATTTGATTTATGTAAAATATATTGTTTTACAATTGTACATTTAGTAAAAAAAATCATTTTTTTATCTGTGAATATTTTTAATTATTTATTTATTATTCGTCATATCTGGGTTAGGTTAGGTTAGAACAGCGTTCACCTTGTCGTGGTGGGGGGGCTCAGTAGCAGTAGCGAAGCTAAGAAACGCACAGGGAGGTTGCCCACTTCGGTGGGCGGTGGGAGGTGGCCCTCTTCGGAGGGCGGTGTACCATGCGGGTTGCTCCTGGTACTTCTCTGATAGCAGAGTGGACTGTGGAGCAACCCCATGGTTGTGGTGGTCTGCTTCGGCGGACCTGCCGTCGGGGCGTCGTAGTTGAATGCATAAGCGATCCTGCGACGCCCCATTAAGACGGGGGAAGGTTTTGTTGGGTTTTAGTGGGTAGTACTGGCTGTATTACGCCGGTGAGTCCCACACGTCGTGCGTAAATGCATTTCCCAACGTTAAAAAAAAAAAAAAAAAAAAAAGGTTAGAACATTTAAGATTATTTATTTATTATTCCTCATATCTGGGTTAGGTTAGGTTAGAACATTTAAAATTATTTATTAATTATTCGTCATATCTTGGTTAGGTTAGGTTAGAACATTTAAGATTATTTATTTATTATTCCTCATATCTGGGTTAGGTTAGGTTAGAACATTTAAGATTATTTATTTATTATTCCTCATATCTGGGTTAGGTTAGGTTAGAACATTTAAGATTATTTATTAATTATTCGTCATATCTTGGTTAGGTTAGGTTAGAACAGTTGCCACAACGCACGAGCCGAGCGAGCGAAGCGAGCGTGCCGCGGTAGCGGCCGGCGAGTGCCATAAATGACTAGAAAACTAGAAAATTCGAATTTCACGCAAAGTACAAATAAAGACAATCATCTGGAGATCATTTTGACAATTGAAAGTGACGTTTTGACTCCAAGTGTCTAAATGGTAGTAATGTCAAAATAATGTATGGAAATGTTATAACTTTAAGTCTCAATAACTTTTGACTCTTTTGTTGTATTAAAAAATTTATTTAACATTTCGACTCCCTATCACGTCCCTTATCCAGAAATACCACCCACTCCGCTAGGGGCCAAGTCCCCAATTCTAAACGGCCGCCAACACTTTTAGTACCTATTTATTGTTTCCAAACAAAGCTTCTTTTTTTGATCCACGAACTCACTCGGTTGAAATTAATATTTTTTATGACAAGTTACTTTTTTCACTCATTCATGCATGTTCATTTGCCTAGGAAAATGAATAAAAATTAACGATTGTTTGCACGCGTAAGTCTAGAGCTGCTGTCCAAACACGAAACTTGATAAAAAATTCAAGACATTTGTTATGTTTGTAAGATAGTTATACAATTTTTCAGAATTGAAGGATAGTCATATAACTATACTTCTATTCCAATTTATTTAAACATATTCATAACGATGTGCTTTATGATAGAGATAAATTTAAACTCATTCAGTAAAGTAGCGGAATATGAAGCTTCACATTAGCCTATATAATGTCTTTCTACGTTAAATGTATAAAGTAACATTTCCTCTTAAATGTTACAAAACGGAAACCATTCAAACATATCTAGTAGGTTTTCAAGTAGGTTTCACCCATTTAGTGTAAAAAATATAATAATTAAAGTTTGTGAAAGGTTCATTCAAATATTAAATTTAGTTCTCAGCCCCCAGACAAAACTGTACAATAAATAACAATTATTCTTCTTAATTTAAGGCTCTTAGCGTTAGCATTTAAAAAAGCTAGCTCTCATCTAGCTCGCAACTTGCAAGCGCGACATAACCAAACATAACAGAATCAGATTGCTAAGGGTGTACGCGAATACTTGACATTTTAGATAAAACTATCTTTTCGGATTTTTTCGCGAATTTATTTTGATTTTTGGTTCCCGACGTTTCGAATGCTTGACAGCAATCATGGTCAAGGGAGAGACTAAGGTGTTAGATGTCTCCAAGGTATTATATAGTTGTTACAGACAGCCTACCCACAATTAACAAAATGAATTCAAAAATTGAAAAATGGCACTAAAGTACCTTACAATATTTTAACTTTTAACTTTAAACATTTTTATATAATTTTAATTAGCTTTATAATTGAATATGGAATAATATTTATTTAATTTTAGCTGTTATTATTATAATTATTACAATTTTAAAAATATTAATTATTAATCTACATTTTTAGTGTTGCCATTATTATATTTATAACCATAAAGAAAAATCATGATATATTAATATTTAAGCCACATAATTGATCTATATGTAATTTGACAAAGTTAAGATTAATTAAAAATAATAATTTTAATTTAAATTTGCTATTATTTAAAAAACAAATTATTAAGCAACACATTACTACATACATTTACAAATGAAAAAGTGAAAAATATTAATCAGAAATGCTATCATTTTAATCTGTACAGTAAGAACTTACTACATCTACCTGTCTGTTATGTTTAGATTTATTATTAGATTTTATTATATTAATAACAGGATCCCATGACGATGGTAGTACCCAGCCATCTTCCCTATTGAAATTTGGATGTTTTTTAATTTCTATGGCTTCTTGAATCATTCTAGGGCGATATTGGTTTTCTTTCGCCAGGATTTGAGCCAGGAGGTCTATCGAAGCGAATATAATGGCTTGGGCGGTCCTGACTATGTTTGCAAACAGCAGATGTTGTATTGCGACGGTGCTTCATATTAGCTATGTGTTCTTTGACCCGGGTTCTAATGGATCTCTTTGTTTGTCCGATGTAAGAGAGCCCACAATCACAATCAAGCTTGTAAACTCCTGCATCTTGTAGAGGGATGTGGCACTTGACAGGTGGTAGAAACTGACTAATTTTCTTTGGCGGCTTGAAGTAAGTTTTAATTGAAGCTCGCTTTAGAATGTAGCCAATCTTGTCAGTGACGCCTCTCATGTAAGGTAGAACTTCAGGGACGCGCTCCTCGCGTTTTTTCCCAAAATAATAATAATAATTAAAAAGTTATGATTTTATATTTTTTTTTCATAAAGTACTTAAAATCTAAAATAAAATTATGAACGCAGCCGTAGTAGATTATGAAATACTTCAACGAGTTCAAAACTTCTTGTTTTGATTTTCAAATTTGTTGTCAGTTACAAACCGTCAACGCTTATTAAAGATTAGCGTCCTCGATTTTTGTTTACTGGATTATTTAAATGTGGTGCTTCAGATATTAACTGTTTAATTTCCATGTAAGTAAATTGTTTCTTTTTTAAATGTAATTATGATCTTGTTTTCCATTTCTACGAATTGTTACTATTGCGAAAAGTTTTGAGTTCATAGGATAATATGAGTATTTATATAATAATATGGTTTAATTATGTTGGTCATTTTCCACATAATAATATTCCGCATAAAGTATATTTAGTTATTATAAATAGGTATTTGATACATAACACATATCTTGCAGTATTGAAAAATAACACTCAATATTTCAATATCCATCATATTCAAAGGTTTACCCATATTATCTTTTTAAATCTCTGTTTCTGTTATTAAAATAAATCATTTTTTTAAACAAGTGACTCATTATTGCATGTGGCTTTATAGCCATTTATGTTTTATTTTAGATTGCAGACATTTAGTAAATTTCTCTTGTAGGATGCATAAATTCCTTGACTATTCAAACTCTCCAAAAAAATTAAAATTCAATATCCTATTTTGATTTCATAACAATTTCAATAAAGAACTTTTTTCTTGTATAAAGAAAATGGTATAAAAGGTAATTCCATTATATCACAATTTCTTATTGAGTGAAAAATATTATTTCCACATATTAAATACCTATAATAAATAATAATCAATTTCAAAACATCTTCCTTGACTAAAGTAACCTGTTATATACTACCTGAATCATCTTCCTTTTATAAAACATATGTATTTACTTTTTATATTTATATAATATGTTTTTATTCGACTTTTTAAGGTTTATTTAGCAAATATGGAATCAACACAACAGCATATTAATAAATTTAGAGAGGAACGCATTGCTAAAGAAAAAGCAAGAATTGAGAAGGTATACTTATTTTTTAAATTAATTATTATTACTTTGCACTTTAAACATTGCGTTGTTGTGAAGTTGTGTTTATTTTAATTATTAATTCATTAATGAATGTCTTCATTTTATTACAGTTGCGGGAACTAAACTTAAAAAAATATAGCAAACAAAATTTTTCAAAACCTATTTCTGTCTCATCTGTCTCTCTACCTGTGAAAACTAAATCAGACACCAGTATTGCTACAAATATCAAAACAAACCCTGCAAATAATAATGTTTATGGTTCCATCTCCAATAGAAAATCGATTTATGCAGCTAAACGAGTTGAGAATAAAGATGTTGCTGTGACGAAAAATGTAAAAAATAATTTTGTTGCTAATAAAATTCCCATTAATGTGAACACAAATAGAAATAAATGTAATACTGAAACAAAACTAAATAAACCAGCAACTACAAATACTAGAATAAATAAACCTTTAAAAGAAATGCCAACTGCAAGCAATGTTAAAACTATAAATCCTAATAATATATCTAAAACAGTTCAAAATCATAAAAATAATAATGTAACTGTAACATCAAAATTCAATAGTAAACTTAAAACATTAGATGAAGAGAAGAATCATCAGAATAAAGTCATGCAGCAAAATATTGAAAAACCTCCAAAAACAAATGGTGAATCTGTATTTGATAGATTGTACAAACCAAAAGTTGTGCAAAAACAATCTATAGACAATGCTTTGCGATTGCAAACAGATCCTAACTATTTAAAGAAAGTAATAAAAGATTCACGTCTAATAATGAATAAGAGACACACAATGTGCAATAATAGCAAGCCTGCTTTACCCGTCCGAAGATCAATATCTGCTGTGCATTTTAAAAGAATAAGTAAGAATGAATTACAAAATTGTATGCATAAATGGGCATCTATTGGAGAGAAGATAAATAAGGCACATTTAAAAGATATTAATGAAGACGAAGGTGTAAAAGAAGAAAGAGTTATTTCTGCAATCAAAAGTGAAAGGAAGAAAGTGAAATTTCAAACCCCTATACATTTAAATTTTAATACACCAAAGCCAGAAGAATTACAGGCAAGATTACAAAAGTGGTTACAAAAACGTGGAAAATCTATAGATTCATACCACCATTTACAATGTTTTGGATTACATCACTTATCAAGAGATACAAGACAGTTTACTTTATTTGATGATGATGATGAAAATAAGGAAAATGTTGCCGTTAATAATGATAGTGACAATGATTCATACTTGGACAATATGAATAATGTGAATGGGAATAAAAAGGAGGAAAACAATGCTTTTCCAACAGATAAGTGGCGTAGAGCCAGTGTTGTAAGTGATAGTGTTGATTTCAATGATAGTTATGAAACAACATTGAATTCTGATGGAGTTCATCAAGTGGACGAATTACTATTAGGTGCTTTAAATGACTTGACGGAATTATTGAAAGAGGTAAAGTAGATCAAGTATGTACTTAAAAATAATATTTTATTCATTTAAATGTCCGTAAATTTTTAATAGCTATTCACACTGATATGGTTATTTACATAATATATATATATATATATATATATATATATATATATATATATATTTTAAATAATAATAACAAGCTATTCACGTCATCAAAACACTAAAAAAGCCATAGGTAGAAGCTAGTAGGTTGATCTGATATGTATTATATTATAGTACAACATTAACTGATAGGTTGAAATTTTACAGGATGTTTGTCATGCCAGTTAACAGAATTAATATATTATAAAACCAGTTTTCTTTATTATTTATTTTTAATGACTTTCTCTTAGTTAATTTTAACCGATGAAAGAAAAGGAGGTGGTTTTTATTTCAACACATACTTTTTCTTTTTTATGTTTGACCACGCATAACTTTTTTTAGTGTAGTCCACCCCTAAGTGTAAAAAATAGAGTGATGTTTGATTTTTACCTATTGAATTTTTAAAATACTTTCTTTTTACTTTGCTACAACTGTATCTACGCTACTAAAAATGAAAAAATAAATAAATAAAAGCAATGCCAGTTAAAAGTTTATTTATGTACCAGAAAAAAAACATAGAAGTGAAAACAGTACCATGTGTACAAAGTTACTTATCTCTTTAAGAGATCTCTACCAGAAACCGTCAAGCGTGAGAAAATATAAAAATAATAATGAGATGCGGTGTAGGTACAGACTACAAACATCAATTATTATATAAATATACATTACAAACATACATACATACATACATATGTACATAGTTACATATATATTATATAGTACATATACATATTTAAATTTTTACTATGAGTAATGCAATAAAAATACATTCTAGGGTTTCGACTGGGAGCAATGTGCGCGTTGGCTGCGTGCGATACGTGACCGATACCCGCTGGCGCCGGACAAGGCGGCGTACTGGGAGTGCCGCGCCGCGCTAGAGGAGCGCCGTGGTGACCTGCCCGCCTCCGTGCAGTGCTGGGAGCAGGCCATCGCTGCGGGCACTGAAGTGAGTTACTCTTTTCTTATTTTTTATCTGTTTTTATTTAGGGCCTCATAGCCATTTTATGAGCTTAATTATTAATTATTATTAGCATTTGGTACATATTTGGTGTGTAACATACACATTATCACAAAAGGTTTCAGACTAGCGCCATCTATCGTTAAGTAAGGCAAAATAGTGTTGTCTAATTAAAACGTTTGTATAATAATATAATATGAAAAGGATATCTGTATCCTGTACTTATGTCATTTGAAAGAATATAAAGTTGAACTAGCGCTACTTACCTTTAAACATTTAGTATAGATTTCTCAGAGATGAGATATTTTCCTCTAATAAAAAGTATCCTATATATTGATCTGGATAAACCAGCTACCATCATATCTAATTTCATCAAAATCATTTGTGGTTTTTCCGTGATGCGGTCACAGACAGACAGATAAAAATTCTAAAAACTATAGATCCGGCCTCTTTATCGATAATAATGTTTATTTAAAATTTCCTTACACTGCACTAATTTGTTTATTTTACATAATACCACAGCATATTCATTAAATGAAAATATGGATGTTTGTCTGTTAGTACCTAATGTGCTAATATCTGGAAAGTCTGAACCTTTAATGTTCTTTCTTTTTCTCTCTAATATATGCTTTCTCTTTTTATAAGGTTAGCATTTTAATTAAAAGTATTAACAACTAAACACACTAAAATAAAAAAAAGGCAAGCAAAAGAATAAAAAAACCATTTACATTTTAGATATGAACATATTTGTATATAATCAAAATATTATACAACCTCCTTTTTAAGTTGATTAGGTTTTATTTTTTTGATTTTATTTCTAGCAATCAGTAGTAGAAGCTAACCTTGACAATTTGTTGGACAAGTTCATGCAACTCAAAATAAGCCCGAGCAGTGGAAAAAAACATGTGGATCCGAAACTAGTTGATGTAAAGAATGTATTTAAAAGTACTATCATACGCTTTGCTGTACAGCAAGCCAAGTTGTAAGTATATTATATACGTTTTTTAATATTAATCGATATTAATTGAAATTTGCCATTGGATATTACAATATTATATTATGAATGAAGCCAAGTGCTATGAGTCGGGCCAAGTTTAGTTAGTTTCTCTGTGTACACATGCTACACTATAATATCTCCCGCGCAGTTGGCTAGACTCCGTGAGATCGGTCGCCGTGACCAGAATCGGTCTGAAGGATACCATAGTCACAAGTGAATTATATAATTTTTGAAATAAATTATTAAATTAATAAAGTAGAATAAGAACCTTAGCATAATTAGGACTGATTTTATCCAAACCAGAATACATATTAAGCATTAAAGTATTTGTCACATACATATGAAGATCACTGAAATAGTAAAACACATCTTTTATATTATAAAACATAAGGAAGCTATTTAATTTATATGAATATAACAGCTTAATAAGCCTAATTATGACGAGTTTATTTTTAATATTGTTAATTTCTTTCTGCTTATTTTCAAAGTAGACAGGAAATATTTTGTGTAATAAATAACAAATTTGCTAAAGCAATAAACACACTTTTTTTAATTAAATCTAAATATTTATTTCAGATGTATCAAAATATTGGACATTATATTTGTTATAATTATAAAATGCATTGGAAAAATTATTACCAAAATCTATAAAATGAGTGAGAGTATTCTATTTTAATAGTATTAAAATTCACATGTACTTTTAATTGTAAACTTTTAAATACATTATTCATCATTTATGTGTATCATAGTATTTAATGACTATATATTTAGTTAATTTCTTATTAATTTCATATTCCTATTTAGCGAGTAACCCTCGCTCTGCTCAAATTTCATTAAAATCTGTACAGTGGTTTTTCAAAATGCGGTCACAGACAGACAGACAAAAATTCTACAATCTATAGATTTGGCCTCTATCGATAATAATGACTATTTCAATAAGATTTTCCAAAAAATATTTAATGTAGAGATCTGACTTATTTAAAATTTTATTATATGTGTAGATAATTAAGTAATTTTTATCATGCAATATAATTGTTCATTCCAATAAGCTTTCAAATAATCTTTGGTGTCATTTCTCTTTCAAATTAATATATGACTTTGTGGGTAGACAAACCATAGTCTCCAGGCTGTAATCATATTTGCTGTAAATCATACGTAACATTTGTAGTATAAAAAGGTAGTGGTGAAATTTTTTAGGTATGAAATCTGTGATAGAAATAACTATTAGTACTGTAATTACTTATTATTATTATATTAGTTTTATTATCTGGTAGTTAGCAGAACCCGCGGCTTCGCTCGCGCTAAAACTACAAAAAAAATCTCTAAAAAGGTAGTTTCATACAAACTTTCATCTCCTATTTTAGCCCCCTATATGGTGAATTTCGAAAAATGGTAAAACACGTATTTATTTAATTTTATAAAAGAGCATTAATACTAAGTTTATCAAAAATATTTTTTGCATTGGATTATAACGTATTTTCCTATGGGAATTAAATAATCTCCCGCGGTAAAAAGTAACCTATGTCACTCTCCAGCCCTCCAACTGTTTCCACACAAAAAATCAAGCCAATCCGTCACTCTGTTTCAATGTGAAAGAAGGACAAACAAACAAATAAACACACTTTCACATTTATAATATTAGTATGGATAGTATGGACTAATATGATTTCTAATACAGACGCCAGAGCAACGATTCCCTGAAGTACACAGTGACGCCGGTACGCCGCAGTTCGCGCCTTAGCACGCACCGCACGCATACGCCGCTGCTCTGCGCCTCCATAAACCAGGCGGCCGGCATGGGCGCACAGTTCAAACCTAACAAGGCCCTTGTTGATAGCCCCTAGTGATTTGTTTATTATTATTAATAAGACTATGGAGGGTAAAGGTAAAGATAACTATATGGTAAGCGGTAAATAAAAGTTCAAAACCCCACCAGAATGGCGCTAGCGTAGCAAGAAGGTATGATATGTTAATTTAAAAGTCGTAACAGGAGTGAAGTGTGCTGAGTTGAAACGATTTCAACAGAAACTTTTTCATCACAGAGATAGTTCTCCTTACCTCTGCCCTCTTTACCTAAGACTAAAGAGAATAAGAGTCTATAACTATATAATAACTGCTGATGAGTTTTAATTTTTTTTAATCTATGTATTACAACTTAATAATTATGTTTCTTTTGTTTCTAATTGCATGGGCATTTGTTGAAAACGGTATTATAAACAGCTCAAATATAATACTACGTCAGGCTCAAAGAACTATCTTCTATGTGCTCTTTCTATCTTATTCTTTAAGTCTGAGTTTCAATTGTTTCATGATATTTCCTTTGCAGGATTAAAAAACTATAGTGACATAAGCATTTAATTATATGTATATATCAAGACAATGCCTGCTGGTCGGCCTATTTTAAATATCTATGTAATATAAATTAATATAAAAGAAAGAAAATATTTTTCTTAGCTTCAATTGTATTGTACATTGACAAGAGGCTACTTTTAGTTCTTTTTTTTAACAATAAACTCGGAATATCTCTCGCCTATTATCATCGGCTCTTTTAGGCACGCTGTAGTAAGTATTGATTTTTTATTTATTAAGTAAGACACTCTATTCTCATTGTCGTTGGAAAATGTCAGGAAAAGAAATGAACTTTTTTTTCTTGTTTAATAAGTAATAACTATAGACATAGAGAGTGGACTGAGTGTTTCTTTGCCAGCCAAAAATGACGGAAAAGCGACAAAGACAAAACGAATGTGCGGCCAGAAATCTTCTGTATTAATTGAAATTGGATTAATGAAGACAGATATTTATGACCATTCTACATCCCATTATAATGTTATAATTTTCAATAATATTATGATTCTTTTACATTCCATTTATAAATTGAAATTGGAATAAAAGACGGGTATTGGCCACACGTTCGCTTTCTCTCTTTGTTAATTTCGTAACAGTATTGCTCAGTGCATCCTCTACGTCTATGCTAATAACCAGAGTAAATAAAAGATTGACATATTGCAATGAAAGTGACAGTATATGTGTACACGTCACAGATCACATAATACTATACTAGTACAAATGCCTCATCCCATACAAAGAAATTGGACAGCGCTAATTCGGGCTATTTTTATTTGTCTAAATATTTAATAGATGCGTTGATTCTCAAATAGTTAAACTGTTTTATATATATATGCAAAGTAACGTATTGTAAATGTAGTAAAATTCATCCTGTATTCGAATAAAAAAATCGTGTTATTTTAACAATTTTTAACCGTGTTAAATTCATAAAAAATAAAAGTGCCATCTGTGAATATACACAACAAACCCATCGTCGGATTTCTGATATTTCAATAATCAATAAAATTACGTAAATTTGATTTAGAAGCACAATATTTCGTTTTACTTCACTTATTATATTTTTTTAACAGTAATACAACTTTTTGGGATCTATTTTATTATCTTTTGTTAATTTAACACAACTTTAATAACAACTCGATACCATTATATGTAACATCATCTATTGGCATTTATTTGAATTAACTTTTCTTTGTTCGTGATGAGACCCTACTGTATACACGTGCAGTAGACCGTTAAAATTAAAAATGCGATGGAAGAAAAATACAAAAAAATAAATGGTAACACTATATAATTTCTGACTTTACAAATCAGTATGAATGTTTTATGTTGACATATTCAATATTATATTAATTAAACATTAACTCGTATGTATGTTATTGCACGATATTAAATGTTGCCAATTCTTTGCAATCTTGCGTATTAATTTTAAAAAATCAGTGATATTGATTAGACATGAAAAATTTGCCGTTATTCCGTTAAATTTATATTTTTCTAAAATCTGAAACATAGCTGCGAGTATTAGCTAGTTTACGGCTTAGGGGCTTTATGTAGAATTTAAACTAAATTTAATTTTATATATTATGTTCTTAAATTCAAATTTAATTTAAACAAAATATAAAACTTTCGTACTAAAACAAACGTTTCTGGACATGTCAACTAACCTAAGGTTAACAATGACAATCAAAACGATATTGAAACAAATCAACCAATTTAAAATAATATATGACGTATTAATGCTTCTCACAAAATTATTAACAGTTTTTGTAATAAGTTGACGGCCATTTTAATTTTTAAATAAAACTATGTTTTCGGATTTTTTCACGGATTTAGTATAGTCTCTCCTGTGACCATGATTGCTATAAATATACTATATTTCTATTCATGAACAATTAAATAAATTTAATTTAGCTAACCTTTATGTAAAACCAAGTGACTCGTTTAGTAATAAATTAGCACTGTAAATACCAAAATGTTTTAAAAAATAGTCTTTAATGAATTGAGAAGAAGATATAATGTAGACAAAAATTTACCGCCTTTCATTTAAACCATGTCACTATGTTCTTTCGTTGTTTTTAAGTTTTAAGTTTGGTTTTTAAAAAAATATACATATTTTTTTCTTGTTTTTTTAAAAGATGTTTAACATATATTCGTATAGACTGTTTAGACCCGCTTTCATATAATTATGCTATAATTTATTCAAAATGTAATGAATGATATTCACTTCTATTTTAATTATTTATTAATATTACTCATATTTTATGTAAACTGCAATTATGTAACCAATAAATGTAAAGTATTATAAATCGATTGTTTTACTTAACCGTCGTACCTCTAATATATGTATACTAGCATTGCCCGCGACTCCGCCCGCGTTCAGATGACCAAAAACTAAATTCTTAGGTTTTACATATTAGTAAACTCTTAAAATGCATTTTTGTATTTTTTCTCAGAAATGAGATATTTTCCAGCGGTAAAAAGTATTCTATATGTTGACCCGGATAACCAGCTACCATCATACCAAATTTCATCAAAATCTGTCCAGCGGTTTTCTCGTGATGCGGTAACAGACAGACAGACAAAAATTCTAAAAACTATAGATTCGGACTCTGTATCGATAATAATGTCTATTTCAATTAGATTTTCCAAAAAATATTTAATGTACAGATTCCACTTAGTTACAATTTTATTATATGTATAGATTACTGTGTTAAACTGCCTCGTTTGTCTACTATAATAAGACCTTGTACTGTACTGCTTTAGATCCATAGGTCCTGGAAACGAGTTCTTCGTCGGGATAAATATAATAAGGTTTTCTAGATTCCTGCGTCTAGAAATCCCAGCCCAGAATTTGGAAATTGGCGGCGTTTCACCCCCGTGCCTCGGAGATCACATGTTGCATCGTCGCCTAGTGATCTTTTATCGCGAGTGTCGGAGAATGAGTGACAGGAAAAGAGAGTGCACTGTGTACAATATACATGAGCACAATAATGTCTCATTGTCAGGTAAATTGGCCGCCGTGGTCGAAATCGATAGGGAGAACATAATCTGAAATTATTTTAATATCATCCGAATTTTTGAGAATCTTAATAATTCTCTTTTTACAAGCTTTTATTTAGTATCATCTGTCCGGTAACGGAATCTTGCAAGTTAAATTTAACCCACTTCCCAGTGTCCATTTGAGCTGTCACATTAGTTTGGTTCCCCATACAATGCACAATTACTTAAATGCCGCCAATTTTAATCTAATAATATTAGTGGACGTTACAAAATAACGATGTATTATTTCCATAGGGCATCAAATGAAAGGGTTTGATGGGCGAAACATAATAAAAAAGTGACATTGTAAATCCAATGTGATGGACTTCCGAAAGTTGACCTACTTCCCAGTGTCCGATTGAGCTGTTTGGCACAGTTTGGTTCCCGAGACAATTCACGATTACCTAAATGTCGCTATTTTTAAACCAATATGGCGGACGTTACAAAATGGCGATTTATCATTTCCATTGTGACGCTTATCCTATGGGCATCTAATGAAAAGGCTTGATGAGCAAAAAACAATAAGCAAAATGTCGTCATTTTAAATCCAATATAGCGGACTCCCAAAGATGGCGAAGTATGTTTTTTATGCACTCCCATGATATGGATATCAAATGAAATGGTTTGCTGAGAAGAATACGAATAAAAAAAAATGGAAAAAATCATATTTAAAAACAAGCTTGTATTTAAATGTTCCAAGAAGAAGAAAATAAACTATAAATTAAATCAAACCCATCAATTTATTACAGTACACAATTAGTATTCAGCCCTTTTTTAACGTCCCACTGCTGGGCACGGGCCTCCCTTAAGTACGAGGAGAATCGGGCCATAGTCCACCACGCGGGTGCGGATTGGCGGACTTCAGATGTCTTGAAAACTTACTAGGTTCTATCCGACATGCAGGTTTCAGTTGTTTTAAGGAGCCAAACGTGTGGTCGAAGGTTTATGAACCGTTATGATAGATAATTTCTTCATCTTCATAAGTTTTTAATAAGTAAATGTAGAAAGTAAGCGCAAGTCACGGGCAACGGCTAGTGATAAATATATTGAAATGCTCCGTATTCCTGACTAGATAATGTTCTAAGTTATAAAAGCTGTAAGTTGTAATTGAAATAGTTGTACGAGAGATTGGGGTCTTTAGTCTGCAGAAACTACAATATTGCATGAATCGTATCGAGAGCGAGAATTTATTGGTGCAGGAAGAGCTGATAAATCTTAGTACAAGTACTTAGTACAATCAATATGTATGTATATAATTTTAAAGTGTAAGTTTCATCTGTAACAATATTTTATCGTATTTCTAGTACCTATATTTTGGATTAAAAATATCCCTAATAACAAACTACCTGTAAACTATGTAGCTTTTATGTCAGTCGATAAAGTCTTGGTTGGATACCTACCTGTTTAAGTTAATAGTGTAGGAAAGAAATAGTTTCTAGGTAGAAAGTTCATGAAATAT